CCCCAAAACCCCAAAACCCCAAAACCCCTTTTGTGGCACCAAAAATTGAACATGCAGGGAGTCTAATCGAATGTATCCCCAAAATCTATCCTGTTTTATTTGTGAGCCCCAGACTCTTATGAAGTTTGAAAAGACTAAACGATGAGATAACATTTTAGTTTGAAGAGAGGAAAGACTACTAGATTCAGAGTTCAGTCGAATATTTTTATCATTTTTATGGCTTCTTCCCATGATCCAAAGTTCAGAAGCAAAATCAAAGGAGTTCGAAAGGAATTGAAGAAGGTGAAAAGTCCTATCCGAGAAGAGCTCCAATAGTGATCAGTGTTATTAAATTAGAAGTGATGGAGTGTGGCTAGGTGAGGTATTAGAGAGAGAATTAGTTGCTATCCACACCAAAAATCGTGAATTTTGGAAGAAGAAGAACTCATTTCAGATCATGTGTAATTTTATTATTCTCATGTTATACGGGAGTTTAAGATGATTGACTTTGATAGGTCTCGTATAAGTCTACTACGTCGTTTAGATACAGCTGGGTATCGCCTACAAGGAATCCGAAGTGAGACAAATGATAAGTGTTAAAGAAAACAGTGCATGGATCTATTTCGTTGATGTACCATTGAGTGTCTTCCATCGAGGCTGAGTTTGTATTATCTGAATCAAAAATAGCAACGTTATTTACAGTGTTCTCAAGAGGAATTAAAGGAGCTTCTTCAGTACCATAATGCTCCAGGTTTCCTTCCGTTCCATAATCAAAGTAGGAAACTCTTCCAGTTCTTGCACTCTGAGTGAAATGCTCGAAAATTTTTACAGTTGTTGGAAGGAACTGAAGTAATAAATTTCCTACTCCTCTGTTATCAATTGAGGAATCTGCCTCTGCTGATATTAATTCTAGGCCTGCAGTGCACAAGTTAGGCATGATTGTTCAAAACATTCCAATCATTGTTGTCACTGGACTCTGATAAGGAAATAGAAGAGTGGCGCCTGATTGTCTCATTTTCTCTAAGACATTATTCATATATCCAGCGCTTGTGTAAAGAACAGAATTGCTATGTGCAAACGAAACTGGAGTCACAATGAGCCCTGCCACATTAATCCTAGATTCAAAGAACTCAGGCTCTATTGCTAATGCAAAGCTTAGAGCAGTTCCTCCTAAGGAGTAAGCAAAAGTACTGACAGTATCGTAATTAGTATTTGTGCTGAGAATGTGAGTGATATCAGCCATAATATCATGCCTGACAGTGGTTAAATCGAAGTCCCAGTACTCCTGGTCTGTCCTTGGGTCAAGACTTGTGTGTCTGGTATGGGAAGTCCATCTAAAGTTGTTCAGCCAGACGTCAAAGCCTCTGTTAGCCAGAAAGAAAGCAGGAGAGTCTTCAGGACCTCCTTGCGCAAATTGGTTTGCATCGACAAATATTGGATGAATTAAGTAAACAGGACTACCAGGCTGACTACTTTGGGAAGTCGGGCTAGAAGGGATTCTCATGAGAGTTAATATGTAGCCATCTTCAGTCGTGACTTCATGCTCTTCATAGGGATAACCATACTTTTCTCATTTTTCCTGTAAAGTTAAGAATCCATCTCCATGGGATTGATCCATTAAGGCTGTTAAAGGGCTCTGCTGGGCAGAAGTTAACAGTATGCATCCTATTATAACAACCCCCATCACCAATGTTTGGGCTCAGGTTAGTTTCATATTTTAATTAAGTTGAACAATTGTCTTAAAATTTAATAAACTAACATGTTTCAACAAGTTAAATATTGGCAGGGGTTTTGGGGTTTTGGGGTTTTGGGGTTTTGGGGTTTTGGGG